CGTAGGCGCAAAGGGAGCTCTGAGAGATATTGCGTATGCCAAGGTGAGCTTCGAGGAACACGGCAATATAGGTATTTCTCCCTTGGCTTACATTCTGGGGTTTGCGCAGGTCGTTGTGCCCAACATGGCCCTTGGCGTCGTCGACAGGTCCATGCAAGCTCATGGCGCAGAAGGCATCTGCCAAGATATCCCCCTCGCCTCAGCCTATGCTCAGCTCCGAACGCTTCGGTGAGTAGGTCATCTTGCGGATCAGAGCTGCTGCAGTCCTCCCCAAGTGCAGACTGGGCTCACTCGCGTCGTCACGGTGGCTCCGCAGTTACGCTGATGGCCCGGATGAAGTACACATCCAACAGCAAGGCAAGATTGAGCTGAGGCGCGCCCCTGCGCTCTGGAAGCGCCAAAAGGAGCTCGAGGCTAAGACCGCAAAGCTTTTCGAGAAGAGCGGCACGCCCAGGCCACATCTCTGAGAATTTAGATGAAATCTCTCAAAAAGGCGGAACCAAGCAGGCCTGATGCGCTCATCCGTGAGCCGTGGCCAGCATGCATTCTCAGAATCCCCGGGCCATCTTTGCGGCACCTTCGTCTCACGTACCTGAGCTCTGGCAAAGACAGAAAAGGGTCTCTGCACATTCCTGTAATCAAAGCTTGGCTCGCTGTTCACGCTCGAATTGTCATCTCGCGGGGCACGCAATGTGATCGACTGACTGTCAATCCCACCGACCCTCCCTTGGCGTGGTTTCTCCGCGGCCTGACGAGCGTGTTGCCTCTTGGAATTGATGAGAAATTTTGCTCGTGGTTCGCAGCGCTCTGCACAGACACTGCGACTGCCTCACACCCTCGGCCTTCACAATTTCGTCTGCCGACGTGCCTCGTGACTCTTGATCTGGAGCACACGTCGAACAAATCACTCGCAAAAAGTCGTGCGATTGCGGGTCTTTGGTACTTCCGTTTCGAAAGATGGCATGTGAAGCACACGTGGAGCTAGGAGCGTGCAGCGGCCCGTCGCAAGCGCGCATCCTGAACAAGGCTGGTGGTCCACATTCATGCTCTCAAGGCTGCTTTTGACGGCCCTGCATACAGCACGATGTGCTTCAGAGGATGTTTTGTGCCATTTCACTCTTCCTGTTGACGCAAAAGAGAACTCCGGTCAGATTGGCATGAGGAACGACGATCTGGGCTATGTGCATGCGCACGCTCAAGCACCCACCTCCTCTTCCACAGTCACCTGCTTCTTTCCCGCTTGACCAGCTTGCTGCAACTTTTGTTGCTGTTGTTGCTTCATCGCTGCAGCTTGTTGCGCAGCTTGCAGGAATCCAGGCGGTAAGCCGGCTGCCTGAGCAGCTGCTGCGATTTCAGCTTGCTCCGCATTGGCTGGTGCAGCGTGCCCATTTGCCGGACCTGGCTGGGCTGGCATTTGGACTTGGATCTGTGTACCTGGAGGCGTGACTAGGGGGGGCAATGGGACTCGGGATTGGGGGACGGGCTTGCCCGCTTCTTGCAGCTTGAGCTCTGTATGAGAAGAGGCATATGAACGAATGCGTGAGCCAAGGCAGCAGCGAACATTGGTCAGAGGCGGAGCTTCGTGGCTCACTCCACTAGGGTTTTCCGTACAAGCCAAGTCCCGCCGTACGTTGCGAAAGTACGCAAGACCCACACTCACTCTCATCATCTCGTTGAGTTGCAACGCCATAGTAGACCTCCTTGTGTTTCAGATGTGCGACCATTTCGCCAGCGGTAGGGAAGATGAGCTGACCCCATCCTTCCCTGAACGTGTTCGCCTCGCTGATCACATCCAACAATTCCGCTTCCAATTCCTTTTCCGCCAGGGCAAATCTGGCCACGGTCTCGTCTCCGAGCGATCCTTTTTGTACCAGAGCAGCCATAGCTTGCTTATCGTCCCTCATCCTGATGATCCTCTTTACGTCGGCCATGGCC